TACACCAACTGAATTGGCGAAATGGTTCTTCGCCTCTGTCTCTCGCTAGCTTGCCAGCTAACTCCCTGTCCCTGTCCCTCACCCTCCCCACCCCCCTCTCCCTCTTCCTCTCGCTACGCTCTTTCTCACGTTATCTTTTTCTGGCTTTCTCTCTTGCTCTCTTTCTCTCTTGTGTTCTTTCTCTCTCTCTCTCTCTCACTCTCTCACTCTCTCTCTCTCTCTCTGTCTCTTGTTGTTTCCTATATATATATATATTAAACATACAGACAGGCATCTACCCACCCACCCACCCACCCGCCCGCCCGCCCGCCCGCCCGCCCGCCCGCCCACCTACCCACCACCCTACCCACAGACCGACACACCTACCTACCTCCCCACCTACCTACCTACCTACCTACCTACCTACCTACCTACCTACCGACCTACCTACCCACCTACCTACCTACCTACCTACCTACCTACCTACCTACCTACCTACCTACCTAGCCGGCCAGCCAGCCAGCCAGCTAGCTAGCTAGCTAGCTAGCTACTTAGCTGGCTATTGCCTATAGATCCATCTATCTATCTATTTCTCGATCTATCCGTCCAACTATCTACTTACCCGCGAACATGTTTAACAATCCATCTACGTTGTATATCTATTTCTATCTGTTTCACTCTGTAATCTCACTGCTGTTTGTCTACCTATTTATCTACCTACCTGCCGACATACCTACATACCAAGGTAGCTATCTGTCTATCTATCTATCTATCTATCTATCTATCTAGCTATCTACCTATCTATCTTTAGCTATCTGTAACCATCTGCCTATCTACCGGTCTATCTATGCCACCTGCCTATCTATCTGTTTATCGGCAAGTGGGTGGGTGGGTGAGTATGAATGTGTGAATGTATGTATGTATGTCGGTATATATGTATGTATGTATGTTTGTGTTTCTCTTACTGCGCCTGTTACCTTTTCTGCCGTGACTATTTGAGTATTACGTCCAGTCTTAGTTTCAGTACTATGCTGACTACTGTTCAGAGCCGCAGCCCACCTGGCTGGCCCTTTGGTGCCACAAGAAAGTTCACGGAGCCTGGGTGCTCGTGGAGACCGAGCGTTCAGGGTTTAGGCTTCATAACAGTTTAGGGTTTACAGTTTAGGCTTCATAAGGGTTTAGGGTTTAGGGCTTAGGCTTCATAAGGCCTGATAGAAACTAAACCCTAAACCCTAAACCCTTTGGGGTTAACGGCCGCAGCTTACCACTTTGGGGGTTTTTAGGGCCAGGGGCCTGGGGTCCAAGTAGGCTGTGGGTTTAAGCTGGGCCGTAAACCCTAAACCCTAAAGCAACATAGGGTTTGGGGCTTTCAGGGTTTAGGGTTTAGGGCCCTAAACCCTAAACCCTAAACCCTAAACCCTTTTGGAGTCCAGGAGTTTCGGCAAAGGTCGGCTTTTGAGGGCTTGCGGCGTTGTACGGCTCAGATAATTCCTGAGTCTATGCTCAACAAGTGCGACTGGTGTTTCAACTTAGGGGAACGGGGTTTAGGGTTTAGGGTTTTGGGGTTTAGGGTTTAGGGAGCTCGGGGCTGTCTTCGAAAATGTTGGTCGGTAGGTTGAAGGTCCTCTTCTAAAACTACCTCTTTTCGTAGTACCCACCTGCAAGTAGGCTCTCTGTAAAGGCCTTGGCAGCAAGCTTGGCTCTGCGATATCTGCACCTGCTCATGCTATCTCTGAGCATTGGTGTCGAAGGCCAGAAGCAATCCCCCAGGGCGGCCCGAGTCGCCAAGCCTTTTTGCTATCAGAAGTGTAGGGCTTATTGTGCACTTATACAGTTCAAGTGTAATAACTGCTGCGATTATTGCGGTTGCTCTGCGAACTAAGCTCATGAATGCTCCCCATCTACTTTATGACAACGACCTGCTGCTGTAAATAGTGTTTCAACGACAGCGCAGGGTGCTCTGGTCGAGCTCATCTTCAGTCTGGTGCTTAGTAGGGAATGGGGGAATGGATCCCCATGATAGTCCCTTAAGGTCCCTTATAGTAGTCCCTATAACCCATTCCCCCCTAAACCCTAAACCCTATAGTCCCTATAACCCATTCCCCCATTCCCTACTAAGCACCAGACAGTCTTGTTTCACCGTTAGCGAGGGCTCACTGGACTCTCCGGAAGATGGCGCTGCTCAGAACACAACCTGGTAATACAGGGGCCTTGATAATTAGAATAGGGTTTTGGGGTACGTTCTACTCATAAGGGGCTCCCAAAATAGAGGTATTCATTAAGGCTCCTAATTATGGTACCTGAGTACCGTAAATTCGTCGCGGCACAGGGTGGAATCAGGTGGAAGGGCCGGAGCAGCCCCAGCAAGCCCTTTGTGGCATAGACGCAGAAGACGGATGTAGACTGACCGGGAAGTGCGCAGCGGTGTGGACGAAAGCCAGGCGTAAAGGCCACACTCTTCCGTGAAGTTACTTCAGCACGCATTTTCAACTGCGTTGTTCGGGGAGACATGTCTTGTGCTTTCGGCTTCGGCAGCTCCGGAGGGAAGTGTTCAACCCTGCCATGCCATCGCAGACCCCCAAACAGCACGACCACCATGACTCCCATGAAGCCCATGACCACTTGAACCACTGGAACAACCATGCCGACCACCACGACCATTACGATCAGGCCAGGACGACCACGCCAACCAGGAGACCGCGAGCAAACCAAGAGCCCAGCAGTAGACCACCAAGCTGCTTTCCCCCAAGTACTGGCAGATTCAGGCCACAGCCCAAATGCCTTCCCCCAAGTGTTGGCGGGAGTCAGGAGCACCAAAATCCTTTCCCCCAAGTACTCCCTTGGTTCAAAGAGTTTCGGATGTGGCGTTCCTGGCACACGAGGCTATGAAGATGCCAGAGCAGTCAGCTGGCACTCCCAGCTTGTTCAAGAGCTAGCTTTGGTTCCGGGGTCTGCGGTTAGGATGTAATTACACTCATTTCTGCTGACTAGGCAGTAGTGTAGTGAACGGAGGTTGGTGCACAACGTTTTCAACATGTTTCAAGAGAGAAACGACAACGACTGCAGGAGCTGTTGTGCCACCGCCACCACTACCACAACCACCGACAACGAAAGCCACAGTAGCAACAACAACAACAACAACAACAACACCAGCAGCAGCAGCAGCAGCAGCAGCAGCAGCAGCGGCGACGACTTCGACGACGACAACGAGCATTGTCGTAGGTCGGGCGAGGTGCATGTTTGCTGCTGAGAGACTTTGCCAGGCCCGGATAGAGTCTTGGGTTGAAGTGTGGCTTGCACGAAAGGCTATACTTGCACGCTCAGACTGGAAGCTCGTTATGCTTTCAGGAAAGTCGCCCTAAAGCCGGACAACTCCTTAGCTTTCAGGATACGCCATGTTCAGAGAATTGACGAATTACTCACAAAAACATGCAAGCCCTGTCAGTGGCTTATATAATAGAGATGCTGCAGGCCGGGTTTGTCATGGGGTCCCTCGAAATGCAAAGGTCCCTTCTCTACAGGGGCTGTTGTTATGAGGATCCTGAAAAACCCGTTAAAACGTTTAGGGGTTTTGGGTTTGGGGGTTTACTGTAGGGTTTATGTAGGGTTTATAGGGCTTTCAACCTGTCTCGAACCCTGAAACTCTAAATTCTCCGCAAAGTTCTCGAAGAAATGGGTGGTGTGGCGTTTCGGCTCCAGCGTGAACACCCACACGCTCGCCGCAATCGACCTTCCCGTACTTTCCATGAGGTTCAGGGTTTTAAGGTTCTAGGTCTGAGTTTTCGGGATTTCTGGGCCATTCTGGGATTCAGGATACGAAGCCATGTCGGTGAGCGGCATTCTGGTCTTGCTGCTGGCTGCATTCGCCAGATGTGCCGGGGGGTTCGAGGTGCGGCTGCATGCATCAAACGGTACAGTAAGACCGTATATGTGCGTGTACTGATATGGTCCACACCCGAGATGCGTCACTCGTATACCATATGCTGTATGATGGCAAAGGTTGTTGTCTATTCTATGACCTGATTGGTTTGGTATCGTAAGATGTGGGATGGCACCAGGAAACACTACATTACTTGACACGTCATACTTGACACTTCAGTCCGCCATCAGCTTGCATGGTTTTACTTTTTGTGCGGCATGGTACAACGCGACATGAATAACATTGATGCCCAAACACCTCGTCGGAGATGCAGGTTCTCTATGCTGGCGCCCCGAGATCGGGGACACAGACAATGCATCCCGCTTTGTGATGTTGGCTCCCTTGAGGTCTCAAGCTGAGGGTTTGGCGTAGACAACTACTGAGGGAGCTTCTTGTCCGTGATGGTGCGCGACCGGTTTGCTTCCAGGGGCTCTACGTTGTCCGTGATTTTTGTTTTTGAGGGGGGGGGGGGTCGTTGCACCAGTCTTCACCTGCACAAACACCATCCACAGAATCTGTTACCTCTAGGTCGGCCGCAAGTTGCGAGAACGTTCGCAAATATTACATTATTACGTATGACGTATGGTCACACTCAGCACAAGTTGCGGCGGTGATGATGACGTGATGATGATGAGGAGGAGGAGAGTGAGGGAGGAGGAGGAGGAGGAGGAGCAGGAGGAGGAGGAAGGGGTGACGGCCCGACGATGGCGAGAGTGTTGATGATGCTGGTGACACAGCTGACAAGAAAGATGATAATTTCAAAGATGCTGCTGGTTGGCATGCCTTTGCGAAGCTTTCGTTCCGTGACACTGTTCGTTATGCTGCTGGGCACAGCCGAGCCGAACCTGCCTCTGATGAAGATGTTGCTGGTGATTGTGGCGATCATGGTGCTTGTGTTGACGAAGCCGGTGACATGTGGTTGCAAACTATGGTGAGGAGAATGCGGAGGTGGTGGCGGTGACAGTGGTGGCTGAGATAAGTATTACTGCCATGTTTCGTGTAGGGCTGTGGGTCTATCGTGCACGCCGCCGTTGAAGTCTGATGTTGACTGAGGTGGCAACGCACCCTAACGAACGGATCACATGTCCTCGTTCAGAGTGCCATGGTGTCCAGGTACACTGCCCTGAAGATTCTGGGAATGAACCCACTGCATTCGGGCTACTTCTACCAGACTCGCCCAGCTATGTGCGACTTCCTCTACGGCAGCCCGGAGAGTATCAGTCAGATCTGGGGTCCTTCGTTTTGCAGAACATGGCCTGAGAAACCCGCGCGAAATCCGCTCAGCACGGCAGAGCCGAGGTCCCTGCTGTGGGTTTGAAGCTCTAAACCCCAAGCCGTGCTTGTCTTTTTCTGGATCTACTCAACCCTCACCCAGGAAACGGCACAAGAGAGAAAGCTATGAGCATCTTCCATGAGTACGATGCGGCCATGGATGAGCCTACCCAACTTATGTTTGAGGCTCGTGCGAAAGATCGCTTTGTCTTCGACCCTTCACCCATGCAAGCCCTTAGTGTCCTCACAGCCGCTCTTGCCACCTGAAGCTCGCGGGGTTCAATCCTGGGGAGTTTTGGGGTTTAGGTTCCCAGCGTCAGGAATCATAGGCTTTCGGGCTCTAGGTTTTGTAGGTTGTGGGTTGTGACCTACCCACAATCTGTTTCAGTGACTGGGCCCACAGTAGAGCAAATGTTGCCTGGTTGGGTATGCATCGGGTTCTCGGGCCTCTGCATGTGGTTTGATGATATTGGCAAAAGCACTCATAAGCGCTGTTGATTATAAGAGAATCCTACCCCTACTGCTACTGCCACTAGCAGTCACTCCCACCACTGCCACCACCTGTACTACCAATACTGTCGCTCACGGGAGAAGTCGTGGGACTGGGAGGAGTAGTAGTAGTTAGTCGTCTTCGTCGTCGCAGTGGTAGTAGTGCTAGTAGGGGGAGTCGTCGTCGTCGCAGCAGCAGCGGCAGCAGCAGCAGCAGCATTCGTAGTGGCAGTAGTAACAGCAGTAGCAGTAGCAG